GCCACGGTGTATGCTGTGACCTCCTATACATGACCCGCAGCTGCATGCAGTCATTTGTTGTCATGTCTGCACATGACCATTTACTAAATTATGGTTTATTGTCATGATCCTTTGAACACGTTGCTCTCTTGCCACACATGGTACACAGAACCACTATCTTAGAAAATTCCAAAAAGTGGTCACAAGTAGTTATGTATTTGACAAATATTACTCAAGTTCAACATTAAAATACCCATAGCCTTGACTAGTTCAAAATAAGTGTTCAAAACACATAGTTTTTCAAGCAGAAGTTGACAAATAACTCTCCAAACATCGTCCAATGATAGATGTCTTAATTTCATCGCAACCTGCTGTGCACTGTTTGGACTCACTTCGTGTCATTTCTTGGAAATCATTATGATATTTCCCATTGCAGAGATGGCAGGCCGTCTATAACTTTCGCGAGAACCGTTGACCCGACGTGTATTAGAGACATTGCTTGTGTTAGAGATCAAGCGTGTAATAGAGGAAATATCGATACGTTTTACAGTTCCTATGGGTGGTCGATCGGCAGCCATTTTTAATTAATCGATATGTAGGTTATCGATGTATTCATGCGAATGTTTTCTTGTGTGCAAAAGGCTTAATATATTCAAAATAGGTTTCCGTAGCAAAAAGGAAACTTCTCTTTAACCAATCATAATCAAGCATTCTTCAATGTCATGGTAGAATGTGTTGTACTCAAACACGTTTCATTGTGTGGTACTACAACTTGCTACATTGTGTTGTACTGCATCATGTTATATTATGTTGTGCTACAACATGCTACATTGTGTTGTACTACAAAATCCAACATTGTGTTGTACTACAACATGTTACATTGCCTTGTACTACAACGTAGCACATTGTATTGTACAACAACTCGCTACATTGTATTGTACTGTGATATCGGAATCCTGTTCTTGTGAGAGCAGAATAGCATGATGATTTGTCGTAGACATGATTGACCTGGCTGTTCGTGTGCCATGAAGAAGGGTAATTCATGAAATAAAACAAAACGAATGTTGGGCCTTATTCAATTGATATGTGAGAAACGATGATTTAATGTCAGTTTAGGTCCTAGGACCTAGCTTACTCATGGAACAAATGTAGTGTTGTTGATACTTTGGGGGATGTTTACAAATGCAAAATACACGATTTTGTGAAAATGTAAGTGGAATGGCAACAAATTCGAAACATACTGTAACGTGCTCTCCCTCTCACCTAAACAGTTTATATTTATTCTGCATCACATGTATATATGTGTATTTTATGTTTTTGTAAGGATTTGCTATTTCAGCATTTGTTTCTGTTGAATTATATTCAACAGAGGTTTGTTGGCATTTCATGATGGCAATATATTTTGTTGTCCAACAAATAGTTTTTATCCCTACATTATATGTCCAGCCCTCTATTGACCAATCACATCCCGAGCTATCCTATGATTGGCCCAATTCAAGCTCTACCTTCTTGGACTGACTAACTCTATATTGCCACTTTCACTATGCACTGCATTGGGAGTATTTGAGGATAATCACTTGATGTTAGTTCATACCATACCTTTACTTCTAGATTGAATTAAATGGTAAAGATTAGGCATTATAAATAAGCATCAACGCAGTAATTATCATATTTACATTGAATCATATATTTGTGTGAATGTTGATGTTTTGAATGTACGTGTTTTAGAGGTTGAACTTTATAGTAAGCAAGTAAAGTTCAATAGTGTATTTTATTATTATCTCGTATATATGCTAAGGTATATGCACCATTATTGAAGTGCACAAGCTATGCATTTTGATATTGATTTCATTGCATTTGGTTTGCATAGTAATTTGTCTGTGCACTTGGTAATGCTATTTTCTTGTCCCTTTGAGTATTAACATATTATGTACATGTAATGACAAAGTATTTATACCTGCTCTTTCTTGTGCAGGACAATAGGGTATGAGCGTATATTAATTTTATTATCTATGATACATGTAGAAGTACATCACATGTGTATCTTGTATCTATTTTATCCAATATATATTATAAGCCATTTCTCTCATATCAGCTGATAGTATTTGGTTGTAAGCTATGTAACAGAAATTATCGTATTGCTTTGATGATGATATGTTATATATCATGTTTTAATATGCATATATATTATATTATCTATTGTTTATTATAACAGGGTGTCTATCCTGCTCATTAAGCCTCAAACCCCGTAGTCGACATCTGAGCAAGTTATGGATAATGCCACAAAAACCTGGTTACAAATAGATCACTTAAAATATGTACACGTAGTTCACACATGACGAGCAATATGGATAGATAAAAAAGATCATTAAAGAGATAACTCCATCAAGATCAATTTAGTTATCAATAACCTGAAAATCATAAAAGTCTCATAAACTTTATACATAAATGACTGTCAACGTATGCTGACGGCTAAAATGTGGACAACTGGGTTATAATCTATCGTTCAAACTCCAATGTTAATATTCTTCAAAACCCATCAGTGTTAAAGTATTAAAGATTGTCACTGTCACCACTTCCAATATATATACTCTTCAAAAAAAGAAACTTGACCCTGACTTTCAAAATGTGATATAATGCGATTGTTTCAAAATAGGACACAGAAACCATAATTGAAACACTGTTTGAAGATCAATGAAGACAATGTCCAAAACATTAATCGTGTCACCTAGACAGACACACGTACACGATACAGTTAATGTCACAGGGGTACAGAAAATGTCAGTATCGGTTGTGCCCACCACGTGCATCAATCACCGCTTGACACCGACGACCCATAGATGCAATCAAGTTGTCAATAACACGCTGTTGGATGTGCTACCATTCATGCTGAAATGCATCAAGAAGCGCCGGAAGTGTTTGGGGCGGTGGATTCCTTCTGCGAACGCGTCGATCCAACTCGTCCCACAGATGCTCAATCGGGGACAAATCTGGTGACCGGGCTGGCCAAGGTAATGTCTGGATGTTGTTGTGCTGTAAGAAGTCCTGACAAACACGTGCAATATGCGGTCGAGCGTTGTCCTCCTCGAACTGTCCGCCATGAACGTTGACGTGAGGAAGAACGTAAGGCTGTAGGAACAAGTCTCTGTAACGCACACCTGTCAATGCACCTGTCACATGCACGAGAAGCGTCCTACCACCGTGATGAATTCCGGCCCATACCATGACACTCCCGCCGCCAAATGGGACAACCTGCTGCACACAGTTGGGGGCGTAACGTTCACCCCGACGTCTGTAGACACGTGCGCGCCCATCAGCACGTGTGAGTAGGAAACGGGACTCGTCAGTAAACAGTACATTTCTCCACCTTGCACGTGCCCATCTAACCCTCTGTTGGCACCAAAGCAGACGGTCCGCCAGATGACGTGGGGTCAATACATGACGTCGATCAGTGTCTTCGTGCAAAAAGTCCAGCCTCCCTCAGTCTGTTGCGTACCGTTTGATCTGATATTCTGCGTACCCCAGGAATCTGTGTGGTTGTAGACGTGGCTGTGGTAGTGCGGTCTCGGAGGTGTCGCAGCCGGATGTATCGATCTTGTGCTTGGGTTGTCACCCTTGGTCTGTCGTCAACTCTGTTGGTGTCGTTGTATCGGGTCCACAGTGCGGAGATTGTCTGTCTGGATACGCCAAAGTGCCTGGCCACTTCTTGCTGAGTTGCTCAAACTTGTAATCTCCCAATGGCGTTGTTCCGTTGAGATGCATTCAGTCTTGGCATTCTGTCACCGCCTCTACTGCCGTTATAAGGACTGTATGAACAGCCGTTGATGTTGATTTTTACACCCAATCAGCAGGGGGTCCTGCATTCCTAAATGCAGGATCCTGTGCTGCACGTTTTTTTACAGGCGGCTGCGTTTGAATGAAGCTGTAAAACTGATCCCCAAACGCTACGTTTATGTGCTTTGTATGTGTTTTCGCGAATTATTGACACATCATCCTTCTGTTTGACTGATTAGGTTCTCATTTAATGTAATTATTTCAGATATTCGGCAAAAAGTGGTTTTACATCCATGTCAAGTTTCTTTTTTTGAAGAGTATATATATATGTGTGTGTGTGTGTGTGTGTGTGTGTGTGTGTGTGTGTGTGTGTGTGTGTGTGCGCGTGCGTCTGTGTGTGTGTCTGTGAGTGCGTGTCTGTGTGTGTGCGCGCGCGTGCGTGCCTTCCCGTTTTGTCAACCTTCTTAACAAAACGCCTCCCCGTTCTAAAATATCTGGATCCATCCCTGAACAGGATTTATGTATCTGAATAGTTATGTATCTATATTCAGAGGTTCAGGACAATTTGAAAACATTTAGGCAAATGCCATCTGAAGTTTACTGAAAAAATGTGTGAAATGTTGGGCTTCCTCGTCGATAACATCCATGCAAAATATTGGGGGTAAGACGTTTAGGCAAGGAGTAGGCATTCCCAGAAGTATTTGTACCTCAATTCAAGGCAAGTACAAGTGTAGTACATCTTTGTTCTTTTCCTTCAGTAGAAATGTGTACAGAGTGTGTAATGATTTCCGTTATGGGAAACGTGTAATGCAAATATAAAAACATTGTGCAAAAGACTCATGTTGTATGAGTGAGTGAGTATGGTTTTACGCCGCATAAAGCAATATTCCAGCAATAGGACGCCAGGGGACACCAGAAATGGTCTTCACGCGTCTCCATGTGGTGAATATAACCCGGGCATTCAGCGTGAAGAGCTGCACAATGATACACAATTGAACTGTGGCGTGGTGTCCTTGCCATTTTGTTTATTATCGCATAATTATATTTATATATTTGGACACAATATCGGAGTCTTTAATAACTGGCGTGGGCCATGATCATTTAAGTACTCCAACAGATTGTTTTTAACTCATGTTATTAACGATTTATTTGTATCATAGGGCGTCCTAAAATAGCTTGGATATTACTGACTGTGGTAAAAAACTCGCTCGCTCGCTCGTTCTTGTACAGAGAAACAACACAGTATGTTTATCATTCAAATGATTTATTGAGCATGTCTTCCATCTCCTAGAAAAGGACCCATGCCTCTGTAACAAACAACACTATGTATTAGATGCAGTTGAAAGAAGTTTGACTTCAATTTACAAATGTGGCATTGGTTATACATGCATTCAAACAATCAAAATTTATCTTGCAATGCTGTTGGACATTAATCTGAAGGTAACTACAATTATGACTTTTGGTTAGATATAATTCCACTATTATTAGCCAAAAGAATAAGAAAGGTAATAGAACCCCTACTACAACCAAGAACCTGTCTATGTGTAGAGGTTTAGTTAGCGCGACAATTTCGTTATGCTCTTTGAAGGAAAAGACAATCGAATGTGGGGATGTTTGGGGTTATCTAGTGACACAACAGTGCGTCAATGAATGCGAGCACATGTGCATGGTATGAAAGTAATTATACTGTGTGGTCGTGAGGTTGGGAAAGCATACTTTTGAAATCCATCGGAATATTAAGGTCATATAAAGGCCATAGACAAAACACAAAGTTGACTTTTCACCTGTAATTTCCATATGTTCTCAACGATCTAAAAGTGCAGGCAACAGACATCTGATGGGTTTTAGCATATGCTGTTTATGTTAATTGCTCAACAATATTTACTAACATTTAAACTACATAATATTCTTCATTTGAACTCAAGTTCTAACTTGCCTTGCCCCGTGGCCGATCTCAAGGATTTGCTCGATCTAAACTGAAGTAGTGTAGGAATTGCGAAATCTCAACGAATGTAGTGTAAGAGTTGCCCGATCTGAACTAAGGTTTTTTAAGAGTTGCCAGATAATTTGATAAAGTAGATAACGACATTACTAAGGTCATTATTGTCATCGATAAATGAGAACCATATTAATGCTGCCTGATAATTGTGGTTGTGCTCCTACCTAATTCTGAATTTCGTGAGGGATGAAAGTGAAGTCTATCTTGAAACCTTCTCCATTTACGGATCCATCACTTGTGAAGACGAACTGGAAATGACCATCAGTACCTAGAACAAGATATATACCCATTAGAAAGGGCAAATGGTGGAATCGGTGTTATAGAAAGAAGAATTGCAAACAATGTGCACTGGTAAGAAAAGAGAACAGTACACACGCGAGAATCACAGACCCCCATTAGAACAACACATGCCAATTGCCCTAACTTCTTCAGGTATTGGACAGGGAAATAGTGTGTAGAGAGTATGTTGAACCCAATCGTTAAACACATGCCACAGGTGGAAATAGAGGAAATTCCACTCGTATGTGTGCTACTCACTGTACGTCTTCTCTTGGATGTTTGTTCCACACAGCTTGTCTCCTTCCATCTCAACAGCGTCGTATCGGCAGCTTCTGCCTGACTCAACGTCAAACAATGGGAAGGTGAAGACTAGGTCACCAGGAGTGGGGGTGTTGATGGTGTAGGTGCAGTACATGTTGCTCTCGTAATCACCAGGCTCTGACTCAAAGGTTCCGGATGTGGCGTTTATAGTTGCATTGCAGTAGACTGAAACAGGTGCGATTCATCAATGATAAACGGCAGTAAGAGGAAAAAAATAATATTAATTTGCAATCGAACATCTTAGTAAATAATACAAATACTCAACTGAGATAATGTAGACGAAGAACTGTAGATAATGGACACGTGAAACTGAGATAATGGACACGTGGAACTAAGATAATGGACACGTGAAACTGAGATAATGAACACGTGGAACTAAGATAATGGATACGTGAAACTGAGATAATGGACACGTGGAACTAAGATAATGGACACGTAAAACTGAGATAATGGACACGTGAAACTGAGATAATGGACACATGAAACTGAGAAAATGGACACGTGAAACTGAGAAATTGGACACGTGAAACTGAGATAATGGACATGCTTTTACGTACCAAGTTCAGTGACATAATTGAAGGAGAAACCGGTACGCACAACACTTCTGTCACTGGTAAATGTCATGTCAACTGTCGGCCCAGTGTCTACAAAAAGGCAAACATTATCCAAATTACTGTTTTTATTCGTACCAATACGTTACGTTCTTAGTCTCTCTAAAAGCTCGGTACTAAATAACAAGTTCGTCGTAGAATAGTTAAAGATATACAAAGTTTATTTAATCATGTGAACTGCAGGATGAACGTTATAAATCTTTGCCGTCCCAGCTGTTATCAGGAATTAGTATCAGTGCTGCTGCAGACACCAATAGCGAAGCTTTTGTTTGTGTTTATAACCATGGGTGTTTTGCGTTCTTACATTGTCTGATAAAGGACTCCTTTGCTCCACACAGCTTCTCGGTGCCGTCATCACTTGTTACTGTTAAACTGTCATAGTGGCAAGCAGTATCTTCCTCGATGTCAAAACGGGTGAAGTTGACAGTGGTGATGTGAGGGGTGGGAGGAGAGCGGAGAGTGATGTCACAGTGTTGGTTGTTTTTGTAATGATCGTTAGAATCAGTGGCTAAGGTATAGGTGCCCTCAAGATCTTCACTATCGAAGTTGCAGTCTGGAATTACAGTACAAGTTGATATACCTTTATAGACCAGACAATCCAGTGATTGACATCATGAACGTCGATCTAAGCAATTGGGAAAAGATAACATGCACCAACCAAGTCAGCGAGCATGACAACCCGATCCCAATTAGGCACCTCATATGAGAAGCATAGTCGCCTCTTCATGGGCCAGTTGGTTTAAGCAACATATCACATGAATAACAAAGACCATATCACTTCGGGCTTTCGTCCCAACTCAAGCGGACTCGCCTTGGAATAACTGGAATACTGTTTAAAGCAGTGTCAAACCCAACTCACTCTCTAATGTAAATAGAAGTCCCTCGTATTTTTCACTGATTGTCGACATGAAATAAACATTATAATTGGAGGTCCATTAATGTTTTTAGGTTGGGTTATGGCAATGCTCCGAAATGTTATCATGTTTGGTGGAACGAATGTGACCTCGGTAACACACTACATTGGTTTTGTTTTCCTTAGGATGTACCTGATCTGTGAGTAAATAATTACTACATTCCTATTTGCTGAGATAAAACAATTATATTTTTGGTCAAAGTCGTATAAAGATGGTACTTGTTGCCATCCTGCTTGGCGTGTAAGGTGTAAGGAGATGAAACAGAGACTGTCGGCTCTGAGTCTTTATACTGTGTCTGAGTGGGGTAACCATGTTCAGCTTCGGTTTCTTGTTTCAGTGTGCTCAGTCCTAGCCTCCTAGATATATATGTTCGTGATACACAGAGTAATATATCGATACTTACGCTCTTCAATATTGAACAAAGCCACAAAGCCCTTTCCGGTAACACTGCTATCACTTCTGAAGCGGATGACGGCTGCTCCACCTTGTACCGACACTGAAGGAGAGACATCATAACCTTAGATTTAAAACACAATATCAAGCTGTGTTAAAGAAAATGAGTCTTCATTAAGAGTAGAGAGTTTTCATGGCATCCTAGAAATTATTTGTATTTTTTGCAGTTGTGTTGATGCTCTTATCTTGGTTTCAAAGTCTTAAGGTTCGCCACTACAACAAGCAAATGTTTCGAATACTGACAGTTGTTCATGGACACTTACCTCTCGTTGCGTTGGGCAAATCACTACCACAGTATTTATCATCCCCAACCTGGACGTAGTCGTAGCGGCAGTTGCTCGAAGACTCTGTGTCGAGGGCGATGAAATTAATGTCCAGATAAAAAGGGGTATTGCGAGTGAACTCGTACGAGCAGTCCATGTTGTTGGTGTAGTCACTGCCGGTACCGGGTAGACTTTGGATAACGCCCGCCGTGACGTTGGTGTTGATGTATCTACAGTCGCCATTACTCAAGGAAGGAACACCTCCTGATTGATACAAATGGTAACACATTGTTATTGCCATTGTAATTTGATCAGTAGATTCCTTTATTGTTCGTATCCTCTTTGAAAATATCTCAAAACCATCCCCATCTTTCTAAACCCTATACTTGATCATGTGTTAGCGGAAGCCATATTGTTCCTATTTGGTTTGTTTCCTATTTGGCAACTGAAGTAACAAAAGTACCTGTGGATAGTTACGTGTGTAGCCTGAAGATGCATTGGCTTCAATGTCACAGAAGGATATTAACCATATTCGATGTAGCGTTAAGAACCAGTACACATGAATTTTGCTTACTTGGCTGGATGGTGTAGGTGGCACTGTACCCTGCTCCTGTCTGACTGGAGTCAGAAGAAAATGTCACAGTGACGTTACCTCCATCTGACGTGTCTGAAAAAGCAGCGTATTACTGCATTGAGTACAACTGAGATTGCAATTTAAAAAGGTATCTATAACACCTTTAAAACTACTCTTTTCAATTAATATATATTACTTCCTTATGTTAAAGATTTATAGGGTTCTATCAAGCTTCAAATCTACGCACGTCAAATTCATTTTTCCCTGCGTTCGTTTTGTTATTCTTGTGTCGCAGATTAGCAACTCTGCATCTTCCGAAAGTTTCATTACACAGGTGACATACGCAAATTCATGTTTGTGTCATAGATGAGCCTGGCCCACCCACCGGCCTCACCAAACAAGTTGCTTAGTTACATCACTAGCATTGTTGATGAAACACATACGATGTTCCGAGAGTTAACTATTCTCAAACTGGTTTATAAATGCTATTGCTAGCACCTTGTTATTGACTTTCTTCGTACTTCTGAGATGGACAATTCTTAATCTGACTCCGATATGTAACTTGTATCATAGACTAACGCATTTCTTATTACATCGATGTACTAGAGGTGAGATGTAAAATGTGACATATATGTGAGACTGACACTCCACTGTTCTGTTGTCCCAGTTTGATCCACATCCCTTCTGGCTGTAGCCATCGCCCATATCAACCTCCAGGTAGTCGTATCTACAGGTGGATGAGTCCTCGAGGTCAAACGTTGTGAAGCTGAGGACCAAGGTGTATGGTACACTGGGGCCTGTGATGACAGTGACACACTGCACGTTGTTGGCGTAGCTGCCATTGCCGGGGCTTGACAGGGTGCCAACATCTGATGTCAGGACTTGGGTGCAGGTATCTGTCGTGATGGGATGTTAGAAGGGAATTGTTATATGTGTAGTATATCAATTACAATGCATACACTTTATGTATGTACATTGACAACTTACTTTAAATTACATTACGGAAATACTCATCTGAATGGTCCGTAATTTCGAAATCGGATTGGACGTAGTGTATACATTTCCCACATATTACACGTGCATACAGTTCTGAATTAATATATCTAATCCCTACAATGTTCCAGGTTCTAAACGATCATGTGCGCAATAAAAAAATACTGTCATAACGACTATCTAATTTGACAACTACAAGTTGTACTCACTGTCCTCGGTGTCGGGGAGACTTGTAGTGTTCACGGTTGTATTCACTGCCCAACACACACAAGTATGACCCACATGAACAAAAGCGATAAGTACACCCGATTAAATAGTTAAGTTTAATGAATACTTGGCAGTATTACTTCACAGCGTATTGTCTGATTATATTTCTCTGTTATAACAGCTTCAGTGATTAAGAATGCTAAATTCACAGCAACACTAAATAAGTTGGTCAAGATGGTTCTAACTTTGGTATCTTCCAATTAATTACATAGTGCACTAGAGTACCTGCTAGCGTTGTTGCTTCTGTGTAATTATATGACATCGTTGAGTTAACGATAATGTCCACTGGATATGGTGTTGTCTCAACAGATTCAACCTCTCGAACTGCAAAGCGTGACAAACAGCATGTTAATACGTGATCAGTAACAACATACGAATAATCAAAGCAATTTCACAAGAGCTATTCCGATTAAGAATGCCAAATTCATAGCAACACTAAATACGTTGGTCAAGATGGTTCTAATTTTGCCATAAATCCTTCCATTGGTATCTTCCAATTAATTACACAGTACACTAAGAGTACCTGGTAGCGTTGTTGCTTCTGTGAAATTAGTTGACATCGTTGAGTTAATGATAATGTCCACTGGATATGGTGTTGTCTCAACAGATTCAACCTCTCGAACTGCAAAGTGTGACAAATAACAAGTTAATATGTGAAATAACTACATACATGTACGTACAATCTCAGTTGTTACATATATACATACGGATCCTGGATATACGTTATTGTCAACCCCATGACCCAGCTATATCCGTACTTTGTGTGTTTGTTTGACTCTAGTGGAGTGGGTCAGGTGTATACCTGGATTCATGGAATACGTGGCCTGGATACCCCGTCCTGTCACTGATCCATCAGAGTGGAAGCAAACATTGAAACGACCGTCGTGGAATTCAACTGTAGGTACAAAAACACAACATCATATGTAAGTAGACACCAACACAGACATGCTGTATGCGCGACTTGGAAGCTATATCAAACTTTACTTACATCGTGGACAACCATTTTCTTGTAAACCAGATATCATACAGATATCAACGTCTTTGTGAAATATGCAGAAGTCTTCAGGGAGCAAATATGTGGAGTAGTCTAGGCGCTAGATCAGTGTGTGAAACATGGCCATTGAGGTCAGGATAAAGGTAGACATGTACAGCATCAGTTTATACTACAAATCATATTGTGACGTAACGCGACGACAATATCTTATTGAACTGTGAATTTGTGTGTAATCGACTTGAAATGGAGCTGCATTTGCTTGAGTTCATGGCAATATGGATGCTATTCGTATATTAACATATCCGAGTAAAACATAAAAACCTTTCCTTGATAATTCCTCTTCCTGTCAAAAGTGTAGTATGTATTAAACGGCTGCATCTGATGAACATCTAACTTAATCATATTTTGCAGAAACTATTACGATTGTGGTGTCTCATACATGAAGAACGCACTTAGCTGCTTTAAGGAACCTCTTTATTCAATCAGATAAAAAAAAATTGTCGTCAACTATGAATGATATTCGTATGACAACATATCCGAGTAATGATTAACATACAAACCTGTCCAGGATACTCCCTCTCACTATCAGAAGTGTACTATGTTTTAACGACAGCATCTGATGAACATCTAACCGAATTTCTATCGTGTTTTGCAGAAACTATTACGATTGTGGTGTCTCATACACGAAGCACTCACTTAGCGCCTTTCAGAAACTTCTGTATTCAACCAGATAAAAAAACTCACACTCTCTCTGGGTCCCCGCATCTACAGTGCCACACTCCCTCAGTTTTGTGTTAACGTCATCAAACTCAATGTAGTCAAACACGCAGCTGGTGGCCTCCTCGATGTCAAACACGTTGAAGACGAAGGTGATAATGCCCGACCCGGTGAAGCTTGGGTGAAGGGAGTAACAGACGTCCTGACTGTTTTCGTAGTTGCCGTCAGCGTTGACACTGATGCTGCCATGGTTGCCATAGTAGCTAATATTGCCTGGACAAGAAGCATATGTATTGGGAAATATCCATAATATCTAGTTAAAAGCTCCCCGGTACATCCTGTAGAGTGAATAATCATAAGGTGGCGGAAACAAGACCGCTTTATCAACAGGTCACATCATCATGAAGAAAACTCTCTTATACCCGTCAGTGACCGATGAAGGCGTGATTATGTATTCAGTTTCAGAATGGTAAGACATCGTTTATTTTAGTTGTTTTAAGGCCACACTCAGATATATTCCAGCAGTATACATAATTGAGTCTTGGCTGGATTACGATCGGATACCAGGACATGCAATCACAGGGACTGATCACCTCATCCACTGAGTCGCCTCGTACGACAAGCCTCGTATTTCAACACGGAATCCCCATAGGAGATTCTTTTATATAGTGATGTCTGATAAACTGGTTTTGATTTATCATTACGTACCTGAAGTTACGACTGGTTCGTCTGGATACTCAGGGTAGGCTGTGGCATAGTCAGGGTGCGCGGTGGCACAGTCATGGTAGGCTGTGGCGTAGTCAGGGTAGGCTGTTGCGTAGTCAGGGTAGGCTGTGGGATAGTGAGGGTAGGCTGTGGCGTAGTCAGGGTAGGCTGTGGCGTAATAAGGGTAGGCTGTGGCGTAGTTAGGGTAGGCTGTGGCGTAGTCAGGGTAGGCTGTGGCGTAGTCAGGATAGGCTGTGGCGTAGTCAGGGTAGGCTGTGGCATCATCAGGGTAGGCTGTGGCGTAGTCAGGATAGGCTGTGGCGTAGTCAGGGTAGGCTGTGGCGTAGTCAGGGTAGGCTGTGGCGTAATAAGGGTAGGCTGTGGCGTAGTCAGGGTAGGCTGTGGCATAGACAGGGTAGGCTGTGGCGTAATCAGGGTAGGCTGGCGCGTAATAAGGGTAGTCTGTGGCGTAGTTAGGGTAGGCTGTGGTGTAGTCATGGTAGGATGTGGCATAGGCAGGGTAGGCTGTGGTGTAGTCAGGGTAGGCTGTGATGTAGTCAGGGTAGGCTGTGGTGTATTCTGGGTAAGCTGTAGCATAGGCAGGGTAGTCTGTGGCGTAGTCAGGGTAGGCTGTTGCATCATCAGAGTAGGCTGTGGCATAGTCAGAGTAGGCTGTGGCATAGTCAGGGTAGGCTGTGGCGTAATAAGGGTAGGCTGTGGCGTAGTTAGGGTAGGCTGTGGTGTAGTCAGGGTAGGCTGTGGTGTATTCTGGGTAAGCTGTGGCATAGTCAGGGTAGGCTGTGCCGTAGGAAGGGTAGGATGTTGTGTCGGCGTTCACTGCAATATAACGTGAAACTTGTTTTGTTATGCAAGTAAAGTACAGTAAACTACGTTTATAACGAACACGCTTATAACGAACTGACGGATATAACGAACTTACTCTTTTGTCCCGACTATTTGCTGTTGTTATGCTGTATATATGCTTATAACGAACTACGGTTATAACGAACTAAAATTAGAGGTCCCTTTGAGTTCGTTATAACCGTAGTTTACTGTATCATCATAATTAACGTAAATAACTGAAACAAACTGAAGTACCAAAATAACTTAAAACAACATATCATTGTTGAAACCAAGAATAATGAAACCAATTTGGTACAATAGTCATTCGCCTCATTGACGTCTGCAGCTTTCTTTACAGAATAGCAAAAAGACAATGTGTCAAATATTAGTAAGTCTACTACAGGGGACAAATTCTACTCACCTGTGTCTATGCTGTAGGTTCCACTGACCCCTTGGCCAGTGACGGAGCCGTCGCTGCTAAAACACACTTGGAACTGACTTTCTGTGACCGTGACTGAAATATTCAACTTCTGCCATGAGCACAGTGACAGCGTTGTAACGTTTAACAATAAAGGCAAGATAAGAAGAGAAAACAGCGAACTAACTCAGGTCAACATTGAACTGTCGAATTGCAGGTCAGTTTCCTGTTAACTTAAAGATTGGAAGAATGAATTCATCGGAGTGTAAAGAATGAATGAAAAGAACAATTGTTTTGTGATAAATTCAGCATCTGTTCGTGATTATTAATAAAACAAATTCGGAATCTGGAATTGTTGTTCTTTTTGGCAATTATCATTACTTTCATAATTCACACTTTCGTGTTCAACACATTGTTTGGTCCATCGCCTACAGACCGACATGTCTGCAAGATGGGCTTCCTTGGAACTCCGACTGTGTTATTGGGAGCATTAGAATATCTGTTTCCTCGTTTGTGCATTGTATTTGATGAAGGGGATCAACGGAATGGAAGCCAAACGGACACAAAGCAGGTAATACTATGATGCACTTATACCTGGATTACCAACTTGTTCATGAGGTAAGGTATCAGTGTAACACTACCTACTATCCGCATAGAAACGTTTACATACAAAGCCTGTCTGCCTAACATTTTCCACTGTTAGGACTACTATCATATCTGCACATATGAACATTATTGAACATAGTACTCACATGTCCTTGAGAAGTCCGTCTTCTCTCCGCACTCTTTCACAGGCCCATCGTCCGTGTCGAAGGTGAGGGCATCATATCTACAACCAGAGCTACTTTCCACGTCAAACGTATCAAAGCGGAAAGTGATTGTCCATGGCCCTTGAACGTCAGGCACGATGTCCCAGCAGCAGTTCTCGTTGTTGCCGTACTCGCCGCCAATGTTGGTGGAAAATGTGCCTCTGTTGTCATACCTTTGTCCTCCATCACAACCTGTTTTAACCTTACAAACTAATGATCGACAACTTAAAAACACATGTTATCGGTCTAATCCAGGTTAACAGCATGTTGCCATGTTTCAATGTTATGTTGTTTAATTTGCTGTAATAGAATGGTTTAGATGATACTATTAAGATCTTAAGCACTATTTCGAAATGACATATATCTTATTCATTTGGAGCACTTTGGCCCCAAATAGCCACAAAGAAATGGGTGCGTGTGTTTGGCGGTTGAGGTGATGAGGCTTTCAATAATAAACTTCAATATGTTTTAATGTAAAGATAAGTTACACGCACGCAAGTCTGAAAACAGATTGCAGTTCTTTAGTAAATACTGGTACTTACCGGACGTCTGTCGTTTCTCACGTGATTGAACGTTCTGTGGCAATAAACAGATAATGATGTGTTTAATCACATAATCTTTCCTATCAACCATAGTTTCCTAATGATTATACAAACATTCCCAGTCTCAACAACGGCTTGGCCTACACGCTACAATTGTGTAACAAACATATTTATTAATGTTCTTATACACACCTACCGATTCAAATTGAGAAAGTATAAGAATTGTTGTAACTCTTTTTGATAAGAACAAGAGCAGTAACTGTCATGACAAACATTTGGATTAAAAGCATGGGTACGACGAGATATGGTTATAGCGTATGTTTGACATATTTACTGCTGAGGAAAAGTATAATGAGTGGCGACTTCCATGGCTTTGTGGCTAAATTGCGCGAAAATGACACTTGATTCAAAATAAACATTTTCCCAAATGCCCTCACTGTATTAACCTACTTCACACCCGAAGGTGGCATAATACTTGTCATTCAAAAACATATTTCATTTTTTCAGAAACCTGGAACCAACTTTGTAAGACACGTCTCCGTGCGTGATGCGCCCTATCACCTGAACCTAATTCAAGGTATAAATACAAGCTGCCAGTCATCTATCAAAACAGATTCATAAAATAGTTCCGCTCTTTGCAAGTTTACTGTTCAGATTGTTCTAACAGTTTTCTCATCATGCCTATTTCTACATGTGTAAAATGCTATTCGAGGAAATATACTCACATTGAAAGCCCTGCCTTCAGTCTGAGCCAAAAGAAGGCTCACTACCAAAGTGAAGCAAATCATGCCTGGTACATACATGTTGCATGTGTTGAATACTGCGAAATGTAGCTGCATTTATACATATTCACAGGACAATCACCCGTTGAATGCCCCCATTATACACAAAAATGTTCGTCAATAGAACATGACGAAACTGTACAACATAAGGCACATTTGCTTGAACATCTGCACCTACTAGATGGTTCACCTTGGACCTTCTAGCTTCGATATCCACACTGATGGGCAGGTGACCTGAAATATGGAACATGATTACATGGAGTGTTGACTCAGCTATATCAGTCACAGGCACACCAATGAGGACGTGGCTAGAATTGTTTTATTTTTGTCATTTTTTGTCCACCTGTGCGTTTCCTTGTTGGAACAATACAGGAATATGGCAAGGAGAAAAATAGTAATTTCTGTCTACATCCAACATATTATTTATAAAATGTCATCTTTCCTTTGGGATTACAAAGATTAAACTTTAATGTTTATTGTGTTTAAACTTGTTTTGTACTGAAATTAGTGTACGATACATTAACAGGAATATATCTGTTTGCATGGTGTGTGAAAGAAGAGCATCAAAGACATGGGCCAATTCCTTCATAATACATGTACATGTACCAATACAAATACCTTGTCATTTTGTTTCGTTCGAGAATTCTTTTGATTAATCAAAAAGGTTTACCAACAGAAGTGATAGGATATGTATAGCAATATGTGTTTGAAACATCTAGTCGTTTATTTTGTATATATTATGCTTCAGTGACACCCGTTATGAAACTGAAGCAACAATCCCAGGTAGAAATTTGTATTCAGGATTGGGAAATCGGCATTTATTATTTAAAACATATATTACACGACCTATTCATTAATTAATTAGGTAGTAAATACAAGATATGTCGCTTTAGGTTCTGTGTGGTAAAATGGGGATATCAAAAGGTCAAGGGCTGTTTAAGCTGAAGCATCAGCCGTTATGTTATCAACTTTTCCAATATGGCTAAACCAACAATAAAGGACGTTGCCATATTGGACAGTTGAAAGACATATATCTCAATAATATCTGAGATAAAAGGATGATTCGAAGAAACTATTTTTACTGCCCGTAGGTAAGAAAGAAAATAAAAGACGATTATGAAATGTTTTCTTTTAGACAGTTGTTAAATATTAGTGAGACGATATTCTTAATCTCAACAGCGAAAATAAAACTGTTCTCTGGGATTCTCGAGGAAATAATACTTTTGATCATATGACAGTATCACAAGACACAAGACAGATCTTTCAGTGAAAATTAAACACTACTAAAGAAACATATTTGATTCGTAAATGCATCGCCATCAACAACACACCAACAACAATAATAATAATGAAAAAAGTTTGCAATTTCAGGGTATTTGTCTGTGAGTTGAAATTTGCACTCAGCATTATTTCAGCCATACTGTGACAAGAACATTTTGTATTTGATATAATTTTAAGACAGTGTTAACGAATATCAGTCAAATCGCCAGTGTGTTATCACAGTAAGAAAATGTATAAATTAAAGGTCCTATATACTATAAGCCCCAATTGAACAAACACAAAACGTCAAGACCAGAGAATAACCAGTGTTGATTTTCTGCCGAAACAGATTTCATTGAGATGAAAGGTTAACTAACAGTGAAAATTATGTGAATGGATCACTGAAAATCGTTGATGACACTGCGTGTTGGTAAGCTAGGCCACCATACAAGGGACGTTCCGCACAGTGACGCAAATCATGCTTGACTGTCATTCTCTCATCACAAGGGATGCATATCGGAGGATCATCGCCTCTCTACAAATAAAAGTGTATATAACTGGAATGGCCAACACAACATCGCCGTAAAAGCAATAGATGCTTTAATGTAATGTAATATTTGATAATATATATTTGGGTGTCCCGCTCTTTTTGCATTACTTTTCTGGTGTAACTCTATGGGATGTAACCCGGGACACATAGCTAAATTTGTGCATTTTCTGCAGCATCAGCCATTATGTTTTTATTTTGTTCCTACGGGGAATCGAACACGGGGTTTTGGCGTGACGAGCGAAAACCTGAACCATCAGGCTACCCAACCTGTACCTACAATAATGTGACCATGAAGTGAGGCATGGTTGTCTGTATATTGTGTAGGTGTTTTTTTATAAGCTCTCAGTGCTGCAGGCGAACTCAATCGACAGGCTCATGGAAAAAGAATACCCCTAAACGAAACTCGCAATAACAGTTTAACGAGTAGGCTTTGTGTATCATTTAAGTTACGTGCGATATGCATAAATGCTCAGCTTGCAACATATCAAAACTTTCAGTAGTTTACTTACCTAAAAAAGGAAACATCGGCCAAATATCTCGGCACACAACTACCAAAAATGGCCACTGTTGACTTTTGGCACTTCACGTTGACAGGCATGCGGTCCGACATTTTTAATTTTTTTATCATTTTTAACAGTCGATCATAGTATTGTGATAACTGATTAAAAGAAAGGCTCAAGTTCCTTAATTTCTAAAAAATAGCAACTCTCGGTATAATTAATTCCAAACAAAAACAATCTGAATCGTAACATTATCGATTGGATCAATGGCGCTTGACAAACAACTCCACATGCATCATGATCCCATAATACTATTACAATCCTTTTTCTATATCTAAAAAAATTTTCTAGAAATATTTACATGGATGAAAAAATCTTTGTAGAAAAATATCTTATTTTTATCGAGTTTGCAAATGATTTTGCTTGATAAACTTACGGACATTGACAAGTTGTTGACAAGTGACACGTTTGGGCGTGGCCTAACTCGCGATTTGCTTAGTAGTTAACAAAAAAATGCAAATAATGAAATATATTGGAAGATACGCAAAATCTGAACTGATACTCATTCTAGTAAAGCCATTCATTAGCAAAATAATGTAGATTACGAAAAATAATCAAAATGTATCTATGATTGCTGAAACCGGAGGCGTGTACCACATGTCATAAATCGAGGCAAAATCGTGCATTTATTTTGATATTGTGTACATCACATCGACAGACCACAGTTTACAATTGTTCAATGTTCCTTTAGGAACATGCATGAGCGTCACTGTCACACACCTGAGCATGCTGCAACAAACCTGGAAAGTCCAGCCAGATTGATTACACATTATTTCATTGATGAGATCCAAGAAAAAAAACATACATAAGGTAGGACAATTCCATGTACTTTTCGCCAACGGAACAGAACTACAAGAATTGTCAATGTGCAAATATGTGCCCTGTTACTCTTTTCAAAAGATAACATTCTCTTATAAATATATTGCTACCACACCAGCTTAAGTGCCACCCTGGTTTTTGTGTACAGTTACATGAAATTAATATAATACATGAGATCATACTCATATTGAAATTATATTATAGAATTGTTTTCTTTGGAGATAAACCACCTAATACACAAGATACGAGTTTTGTATGTACATGTTGAGAATCGTATCTATTTATTTATTACTCATGGGTTACTAAAATTAAATGATAACATCAAATAGTTACTAAACATAATTGATGTTTAGGTGAAAGATAATAATTACGAAATCAATTACAGTGATAAGTAGCTATACAATATATAAAATATAAAAAAATATAAGTTAAAATGTTAAAAGCTGTAAATAAATATAAACAAATCTCTCATCAATACGCAATCGTGGCGGTCATTTTTTATGGAATAAATTTTAAAATGCGTGAAATTGTTCTAAAATCATGCCAGAATCCTTAAATGTATTATAAAAGCACAAATCATTGAGCTATCTCCAATTTAATGTGAAACTAACATTGAAAATATATTTGTATTATTCTCACTATATATACTTAACGTAGGTGCGTATATCAGCATCACGTGAAGGGTTTTTTTAAAAACATTTTCATTAGGCCCATCATCGCGCACCTATTGTGGAGTGGTGGTCATTGTCGATTGACGATATCTACAGACGTATTGCATGGGACACACTTATTATAGTGAAAACAAAATCATCAACGTGTACATCGTAGATACATTAATCATATTCGTTAATATTCAACGTAACATCGAATGGTGATGCTAAAATATCAACATAAGTTCAAATAAACGATACCGAGAAACTTGCATGTGGCATGTTGATTCATCGTCTACCGTTGCCGGGTCACGGGAGCATGCAAGGTCAAATGGAATAAATAATATGCCAATTTTATCGTCAAAGTCACATTGTAATTTCAGATTAGAGGTGAATATTCATACTATGTAGTGATTTGTGTTTATTCTGGATGTGACAGGCGAAATATTTCAATATTAACTGTATTTGTTTCGTAACGAAAGATTATCAGCAGACTACCCCTGTCTGTAACATCACATCCGGTGACCTTTGCACTCATTGAAATATTGCTGTCAGATTTCGCGGACTTTATTTCGGTTTTTTTCTCGTCATATTAAAAAGAAAATCACTTGACATTAGGATTGGTGAATATTTATGAGTCATTTATTGTTTCCTGCAAATTTTATAACGACATGAGGTTAGATTAACCCTAATACTCTTGGATCTGCAAGTGACATGATGACCTCATGAACATTTAGTTTTCATTCTGTTTGGATAATGAATTTACTGAAATGTTTCTAAATTTACCATCGCGCTGTTATTTGCCGATAAAACATTGGCTTTTTATTCGGTTAAAATTAAGATATCGGAGATGTGATTAGGTCACTAGCATGTTACATTTACCAACTTCAATAACGACTGTTTGAAATCGCCCAGCCTCTTTTTGGCACCTTCTGCTGAAACAATTCAGCTGGCTAAAGGTTAATCAGATTTTTTCAAAGTTACACTTTATTGTCAGACTGCTTGAAATGAATATTGCGAGTTGTAAGGAATTCTTGCAATGTGACTTTGAAACTGGTTGTGGTTGGAGTTATAGTTTCGAGTTCACGGATGTTATGGTAACTCGACTTATCCATCACTAGCACGCTTTTCAAACCATTCAAGGCATACCGTTGCTTCCATTTCTCTGTGGTAATCGCCCCCCGAACTCTTGGTCTCTGAGAGAAGTTCACAGACGACTACGTATCACCGAGTGGGATGTCAGTCACCATTCACTGGAATTGTGTATGGAGTATGTAAAGATTTCTGTAATGTGAAACATGTTATACAACTATATTCTATGTAAAGACTCTTGAGTGAGTATGGCTCTGGCGACAATCACTGCACACCTGAGGCGACGACTTACCGTTTGTGAAGATATTCGTCGAAAGCCAGGGATGCTTCTTGCAGTCACTGTTGCTGGCTGGAATCGATTTCGTAGGTGTGTTGTCCAGTTGTCCAGTTGTCTTGTCAATTATTGGTAACGCGTGGTCTGCCACTCCGCGGATGGTCTCTGACTGCATTCGTCTGTTGCCAACGTTGCCATAAACACCAAATGGTGTTTCTGAGGACGTTGAATTGTCTTGCAACATCACATTGACTCGATCCCGCTTCAAGCATACCAATGGCTCGCAGACGCTCATTTACGGACAGGCGTGGCATTTCGTATTATTGAATAATTAGGTAATTTTTTTTGTTTTTCTGAGTGGTTGTTGTCAGCACGATGCTAAACAATGCATATTGAATCCCGTATCTTAAGTTGCAGTCAACAGACATCTGATGGGAGATAACATATGAGGTTTTATGTCGATTGCTAAACAATATTTACTTACATTTAGACTACAAAATAGATAAGTCCATTTGACCTCGAGTTCCGAAGCCCGATCTTAACTGAAGTAGTGTAAGAGTTGCCCGATCTCAACTAACGAAGTGTAAGAAGTGCTCAATCTCAACTAACGTAGTGTGAGAGTTGCCCGATCTCAACTAACGAAGTGTAAGAAGTGCTCAATCTCAACTACCGTAGTGTAAGAGTTGCTAGATCACAGGTAACGTAGTGTAAGAATTACTCGATCTCAACTTACGTAGTGTAAGAGTTACCCGATAGCAACTAACGAAGTGTAAGAAGTGCTCAGTCTCAACTAACGTAGTGTAAGACTTGCTAGATCACAGGTAACGTAGTGTAAGATTTACTCGATCTCAACTTACGTAGTGTAAGAGTTACCCGATAGCAACTAACGTTGTGTAAGAGTTGCCCGATCTCAACTAACGATGTGTAAGAGCTGCCCGATAGCAACTAACGTTGTGTCAGAGCTGCCCGATAGCAACTAACGTTGTGTAAGAGTTGCCCGATATCAACTAACGTAGTGTAAGAGTTGCCCGATCTCAACTAACGATGTGTAAGAGCTGCCCGATAGCAACTAAATACCTATTAGAAACAAAAGGTGCAATAGGTGAAAGCAGAATTCGAATTGTAAACAATATTCACTGTTTGGTAACTGAACTGTGCCCCCGCGAGAATCACAGACCCTCGATAAGTTATGTTGTAGATAAAAACAATTTTATAGTGTATATGTTACAACACTCCGTATGTAAAATAATGGAAGGCGAATAACCCCTTGCGAAGGAAGTCTGGTACTGTGTACAGTATTAACAAACAGTCGTTTTAAGACAGAAAATGTCAGAAAAAAGGATGACTTCAAATCGCACTGTTTTATATTACGAAGCACTGTTACGTCACTCGACTTTTTGCCCTTATGGGTAATATGTGTGCTACTCACTTTACGTCTACTCTTGGATGTTCCTTCCATCTCACGAGCGTCGTATCAGCGTCTGCTGCTCGACTTAACGTCAAACGATGGGAAGGCGAAAACTATGTCACCAGGAGAGAGGGGTGTAGGTGCAGTATATATTGCTATCGTAGCCACAAGACATCGAGTCAGAGGTTCCGGGCGTGCCCTTTTATAGCTGCATTGCAGAAGACTGAAACAGGTACGATTCATCAAGTGATTCAGGGACGATTACAGCCCAGTAAAAATTATGTTTGATGATGAGTAGAAAGAGGATAAAAAAATATTTATTTGATATTGAGAAACTTAGAAAATAATACAAATGTGCAAATGAAATAACGCAAATATAAAACTGAGATATGCACACGTGAAACGGAGATAGTGGACACGTGAAACAGAATAGTAGAAACGTATAACTTCGATAATATACATGAATTTGCGTTCCAAGTTCAGTGACATAATTGAAGGAGAAACCGCTACGCACAACACTTCCGTCACTGGTAAACGTCATGTCAACTGTCGGCCTATTGTCTACAAACCAGTAATTCATATAGGTAATACAAGACAAACAGTCTCCAAGCTACTGTTTTACTCGCACGTATATGTCACTTTCAAATTCTCTATAAATGCTCGCTTCAGACCATCGTAGAATACTTATGAATATGTATGAAGTTATTATTGAATCATGTGAACTGCACATGTGGTGTAAGAAGATGAGTATGAATGAAACTTGTGCCGTCTCAGATGTTATTAGAAATTATTATATGTGCTACCGCAGCCACCAATACAGCACATCAGATAGGCTTTTGTTGGTGTTATAACTATGTTTTTTTAGTTCCAGGTGAATTAAAAAGGATACCATGGCTATCTAACATTGTCGGATAAAATACTCATTTGTTCCACACAGTTTCTGGATTCGTTACTATTAAACTGTCATAGTCGCAACCAGTATCGTCCTCGATGTCAAAACGGGTGAAGTTGACAGTGGTGATGTGAGGGTGGGGGGAGAGCGGAGAGTGACATCGAAATGTTGGTTGTTTTTGTAAAGATTCGTGTTTTTAAAAGCAGAGCTTAAGTGGCGTTTACCCCAACTTAATCACTCACTCATGTACATAAAATCATCTCTTATCACTTATTATCGACATGAACAAAACAGTATCAATTAAAGGTTATAGTTAGAATTATTGCCATGCTGGCATTAAACAAGGACTGGTCGGCTCGGAGTCAGTGTACTGTGTCTTAGTGGTATATCCATGTTAAACTGTGGTATTGTGTTTCAATGTCCTCAGTACTTGACTCCTAGATATGTATGTTCATGATACACAGAGGAATATATTGATACTAACGCACTTCAATATTGAACGGACCCACAAAACCCTTTCCAGTAACACTGCTGTCACTTCTGAAGCGGATGATGGCTGATCCACCTTGTGCCGACACTGAAGGAAAGACATCATAACCTTAGGGTTATTCCAAGTATCAAGCTATGTTAAAGTTAATGTACACAACTGTATTCCTTTTCTCAGCCCAAGAGTTACAGTTTCTTCATTGTATCCAAGAACTCATTTTGACTTGAATGTCTGTTTGCAGTTATGTTAGCTGTTGCTCTTATCAACAAGCAAATGTTTCGAATACTGACAGTTGTTCATGGGCACTTACTTCGCGTTGCGTTGGGCAAATCACTCCCACAGTATTTATCATCCCCCACCTGGGCGTAGTCTTGCTCGAAGCCTCTGTGTCAGTGAACAAAAAGTGAACAAAATCGCAAAATTATGTTTGTGTCATAGACGAACCTGGACCACCCAACGACCTCACTGAACACGTTGCTTAGTTACATACAATGTTTCGAAAGTAAGCTTAAGCTATTCTCAAACGGATTTACTAATTCATTGTTAGCACCATTTCAGTTTGCACTTTTGAGGTTGAAACTCGATTGATATGAAACTTGTATGTAAGATTGACACATTTACAATCAAACCAGTGTATCAGAAGTGAGATGTAAGATGTGCATACTAGTATCTATGAGACTGACACTCCACTGTGCTGTTGCCCCAGCTTGATCCACATTCCTTCTGGCTGTTTCCCTCGCCCATATCAACTTCCAGGTAGTCGTATCTACAGGTGGATGAGCCCTCGAGGTCAAACGTTGTGAAGCTGAGGACCAAGGTGTATGGTACACTGGGGCCTGTGATGACAGTGACGCACTGCACGTTGTTGGCGTAGCTGCCGTTGCCGGGGCTTGTCAGTGTGCCATCATTTGATGTCAGGACCTGGGTGCAAGTTACTATCGTGATCGGACGTTAGGAAGAAATTGGCATATGTGTAAACTTTCGATAACAATGTCTGCATATAAATATGGTGCACCTATAAATATATATTGACAACTTTCACTAAAATTCCATTACGAAAATACTCATTTAAATGTTCTGTTGGACGTAGGGTATATATTTCCCACATATTTCTACTTCATACAGGGATACCCATAAATAATATATGTAACCCCTACAATGCCCCATGTTCTAAACGATCGCGTGCACAATACAACCATCATTAACTTAAAGGATATCTTGTTTAACAACTTCAGTTTGTACTGACCCCGGTTTCAGGGATACCAACACACAAGTGTGTCCAACACACAAGTATAACACACATAGTCCACGGTGACGAGTACATTCGATTGAATAGCAACGTTTGATTTATGTGTAGTCATAATGCAATATTGATATGACAGAACAACATTTATTTCACAGCGCATGGTTAGATTTCATTTCGCGGGCATTTTCACAGCAATTTCACAAGAACAAAAATGATTTGAGAAAGCCAAGTTCACAGCAACACCAAGAAACTTGGTCAGGATGGTTCTAATTCTGCCACACGTTGGATATCCTTCGCTTGGTATCTTGCATTCAATTACACAGTACCTGGCAACGTTGTTGCTTTTGTGAAAATAGATGACATCGCTGAGTTGACGATATCGTCCACTGGATATGGTGTTCTCCCAAAAGATTCAACCTCTCGAACTGCAAAGCGTATCAAATAGCATGTTAATACGTGATAAGTAACAACATAAGTATAATCTCAGTTGTTACATATATACATACGGATCCTGGATGTACGTTGGCTATATCCGTACTTTGTGTGTTTGTTTGACTCTGGTGGAGTGTGTCAGGTATTTACCTGGATTCATGGAATACGTAGCCTGGACATCCTGTCCTGTCACTTATCCATCGGAGTGGAAGCAAACGTTGAAACGATCGTCGTGGAATTCAACTTGAGGTGCAGAAAGACAACTTCTTATGCAAGTACAAAAAACACAGACATGATGATTGCGCGACTTGGAAGCTATATTTAACTTTAAATACATCGGTGACAGTCACGTTTTAAAACTCTATATCAAACACATATCAGCGTCTTTGTGGAATAAGCAGAATTAGAAATGGATCAAACCAAGAGACCATCCCTTCACTGGTGCTTCGCCTGCCTCACTTTTTAGCAAAGATGTGGAGTAGTCAAGGCGCTAGATCAGTGTGTGAAACATGGCTATGGAGATCGGGATAGAGGTATACATGTACAGCATCAGTCTATACTACACACCCTAATGTGACGCAACGCAACATCTTGTTTAACTGTGATTTGTTTTAAGTCACCCTGAAGTGTAGCTATTTAGTCACGCACAGACCCGACCTGGATATCGGGATTGCTGGTAGTAGCATATTGGAGATAATCAGATGTAACGAAGTCGAAGTGTATACTGATACAGCTTACATACTCTGATATACTTTTATAGTTAGTCAGCAACGTTCCAGCTATATCGGGGGCAGGTGATAATCGAAATGAGATAATAAAGATGTGGTTGATATAACGAGGATTGTTTTGTCATAACGACGTCAAGACAAATAAAGATCCAAACAGTTTGGGGAGGATCTGAGGATAAGGAAAGGCCACCATCACTTTGCACTTATTGACCCGAGGCACGGCAATCTGATTGGAAAATGAACGAATGACGTCACGCTAAAAATAGACATGACCAGTGAGGCACAGGACCTTACAAGTGATGGTGCAATAACCGGGAATTCCCGCGCTAAATATAGACCAATGGTTATACATTCAAACATGGCCTTATCAGGGTTATAGCGAAAACGGCACCTCAGCAAAACGTCACCGGGCGAAAACGGCACTGATTGGCGAAAACGGCACCTCGACTCGAGCGAAAACGGCACCTCGACTCGAGCGAAAACGGCACCTTATTTTTTTGTTTTACCTTGGTCAAATAAATGATATTAAACTTACATTGTAACTTGCAAGCGCCAACGACCTAACTAAGGCAGGCAAACAAATAACCTTCTTGTGGATACCCGCCCACGTAGGAATATACGGTAATGAAAACGCCGATAAAGCAGCTAAACTATCCCTCATAATCCAAGAAATAAGCTTAAACTTACCCATCTCAAAATCAGAAATTAAAAGTGTAAACAAGCAAAAAATCACAAAAAATGGCATAACCTATATCTAAACTCAAATAGCCAAATCAAAAAAGTGTTCAGCAAACCACTAACCAAACCAAAAATTCTCCATCCATCCAAAAAAATCGACAGAGTAATCACTAAACTCCAAACAGGACACACCAACCTAAATAACCACCTAATGTTTTTAAAAAAACACACTACAGGTAACTGCCCACACTGCAAACAACCAGAAACCCCAGAACACGCACTCATCCACTGCACACACTACCTAACACATCGAACCGCATTACAAACAAACCTCAACAAGGCTCTAACTCTAGAAGCAATACTAAACCCACAAAATAAACTAGAAAACTTCAAGGCCTTAGGCGTATTCTTAATAAAAACGGAACTAATCGTTATTAAAAATAGAGGTGCCGTTTTCGCCTGACACATATAGTAGCCGTTTTCGCCAAATGCGGTGCCGTTTTCGCCAGAGAAATCGGTGACGTTTTGCTGAGGTGCCGTTTTAGCCTGCACCCCCTTATCAGTATAATTAAAACTATACAACAGTATGTGTGAAATTCCTTTGAAATAGAAAGGGTGCAAAGTAGTGAGTTCTTTTATGTTTACATAATATGTATAGGTATAATAGAATCCTTTTGTTGCCGTGAAGACGGTGATCAACTAGGTCACATAGCAGCCTTGTCCACTGAAGGCAAACAGTTGTGTGAACAAACCTTTGAGGAAGGCAGTCCTCTGTATCCACGAGTCATTGAATGTAACCAAGCTCCTTCTCTATAGTTATGAATGGCTATGTAGTGGATAAATATATAAGCTCTATTTACATCGTTAAGGCTTCATTTCACGTGTAAACATGCCGACTGATAGTTGAAAAGTTTATTTATCTGGTATTTATTTTAATCCCAAACACCCAGCTTCCTTTTCTGGGCCCAAAAAGCTGTATCACATTGTCAAAAAGGAGAGGAAATTTGATATTAGTTTACATCACATAAAGAAGAGGTTGGCGTCCCAAGATGCCTATTCGCTTCAGCGACCTTTAAAATACAAGTTCAAGCGGAACAGAGTGGTGGCTTCAGGCCTCAATGCTCGATGGGATATTGACTTGGCTGATGTATCTAATATAGACTCGGACAATGACGGTGTGAAATACTTATTCATAGCTATAAACGTATTTACACGGTTTCTGTGGGTCGAGCCCCTCATAAATAAAATGCCAGACTCTGTCATTAAGGCCATGAAGAATATATTTTCCTGGGCTACTCTACCACGAATTATACGATCTGACAAAGGTCGCCAATTTGATAATAAGAAAGTGAAAGCCTTTCTACAAAGTAAAGGAATCACTTATTATTTGACACAGAATGAAACCAAAGCTTCTTATGCTGAACGGGTGATCAGAACTCTTAAAACAGCTATGTACAGGTATTTTACCTATAAACAGAGCTATCATTATTTGAATATTTTGCAAGACTTGGTGAAGGCTTATAATCACAGGCCTCACAGATCCCTGAATGAACGATCACCCTCAGATATTAAAAAGGCTAATGAAGCTTTAGTATTGAGAGAACAATACGTTGACACTTTAATGAAACCAGCAAATCAGAAGTTGAAATCAAACAGAAATCTATTATTTAAGTTTAAAGTGGGCGAAAAAGTAAGACTTTCTCATTTGAGACATACATTTCAAAAAGACTATCAAGAAAAATGGACTGAGGTAATCTTTATGATAAGAAGACGGTACTTTCGTGATGGTATACCAATCTATCTGTTGAAAGATATGGCAGAGGATCCTATACAAGAAACAAACTACGGGAATGAAATGCAGAAAGTAAACAGGCCTAGGGACACCATGTGGCGAGTGGAGAAAGTGTTGAAGAAAAGGAAACGAGTTGGTGTAAAGGAGGTGTTTGTGAAATGGATGGCATATCCCAAGAAGTTTAACAGCTGGATACCAGAGGCTGTTCTTCAGAGTGTATAAGGCTCATCTTCTTATCTCATAGTCAGTTGCTTGCTAACTGTCATGGAGTCCACATCGTGCCAAGAGTGTGGGAAGCACTTTTCTTGGAAAGATGCTATGCTGAGACATAGAAGGAATAAGCATTCACAACCACCACCACCACCACAACAACAACAACAATTTCCTCCTCCACCACCACTACCACCACCACAATTTCCTCCTCCACCACCACCTCAGGACATAGAGCAGTTCCGGTTTACCATACCCTCCAATGCAGTGGTCGTGGGTCAATCTGGTTGTGGCAAGTCTATGTTTGGCTCTAACACACTGCAGAGAGGACTCATACCATTTTAAGCATTGACTTTTGTTGGCCCGGCTACAATATGCCTATGGCAGGGACTCCCCATATTCTATGCAAATCACATTAACAATAAAAACAACACTAAAACATGTTTTCTTCAGAACAGGTGTTTTCTAATGTATCATTTCTTTATACCTGAAACATTGGGCCATAACAGAATGACAGAATTTTTTTTTGCAATTTGTTTGCGTTTCTGTTGGAGGGCTACTGTTTCCTGATAATAGAGTGTGTGTGCTTCAATAATTCCCTTAAATAGGATTTTACGTTTATGGGCCGCGAAGATGATATACATAAACGTGATTTAGCCGCAGAAGTGTTGCGCACCTCAATAAACGTACAATGGCAGTTTATGAACTATAAACAACGACATACCGTGTTTGTCCTTCTCTCGTGATTAAACACTCTGTGGTAAAAAAACAAACAATGGTATATTTGATCACATAATCATTCCCATAAAAAATAGTGTCTTTATTTCTGTATTGGAGGACATAGGCCCATGTACATTTGAAAGAGATAAGTGATAAGTGATTTACAGGAGGCAGCTCATTTTTTACCATTACTGATTTGACAGTTTTGAAAATCATATACTCAAGACTTATTTCACATATTTGACTTCATTAATAAGCACAACATGATTTACAGTTTAACAGCCTTTTTTCACTTAATATCACTCTAACTGTTATGATATAACTCTGGAATGTACTTTGGTCTCAAATCAAAATATGCAGGACATATAAACAAGAAATGCATTTCATCTTCAGTTTAACCAGAACTACACATTTCACAAATTTGATGATCTTAGTCAATACCTAATCGTTTTCGTAGGTAACTTCGAATGGTAAATTCAGATATTCTTGATAGACAAAGAAAACGCCTAAATTCTCTTTTTCTAATGCCCGTTATATACAATTCTGTACCAGATAATAATTTGAATTGATCCGCATATTTCAATCCTGCAAACGTTGCTTAAACATACTTGGAAAGCCCTTTCTATCGCCCACACTTTGTGCATTCCATTATCTCCAAGTCCATAAACGTTCAGCAGCTGTTCTACACGAGGGTGCCCATGTGATTCGTCAACTGTCAACTACTTGTTTCATAAACATATAACATTGTCGAGGGTACTTCTCATTTGTTTTATGCAAAACCCTGCACCAGTATTTTATACATTTCAAATCAAATTCAACATATGATCAATATCTACCACATTCAGACAGTATTGCTGTATTGGATACAGTTTTTCTAACCCCTACCACAAATTTACAAAAATTGGAATGGAATGATTCCACCGACTGGCGAACAGTGTATCCCCATATTTCGGCTCCATAAAGCACAATTAGTTTTATTTTAGTATCAAACAATTTAAACAGTATATTTACTGGCCTGTTTTCAAATTTATATTGCATTTTTTAACAGCAGCCACTGCCTTATTTGCATTAACAACAAGTGTATCAATGCATTTGGTCAATGAAAGTTGAAATGTAAGTCAATTGAAAATAAAATTCCTAAATAATTGCAATATGTTGAGAGAGTGATAGAGTTCACGTCCACAAAACATGTTTCATTATGTCGCACAGGTCCACCTCTTCTGTCTTAGCCATATTAACGTGAAGACCCTACACGTTACAGAAATTATCCAATACATCCATTTTTCTTTGTAGTCATCTGCACATAGCAGATTGTTCACCTACTACCTTCAAGCTTAGATGTCCACTCTGATGGGCAGGTGACCTAAAACATGGAATATGATTACAGGTAATGCTTACTCAGCTATATCGGTCAAAGGCAGGACTTTGAACTTTCGAGTGTAAACTTAGCATTTATTATTAACAACACGTATTTCACCATCTATTAATCAAATCATTATTCAAGGGAATAAATACTCCCCTACTGGGGATGAGAAGGACCTTAAGATATGTCGCTTTAGGTTGTGTGTGATAAAACGGAGAAAAAAAGGTCCAGGATTGTTTCAGCCTCATTGTCATTGTGATACCAATGTTTCCAACATAACTAACAAAAGATGTGCAGAGGATTTGAATCAAAGTCTTGTGCTCGATTGGATTGATATGAGTGTTCAAAGATAGAGTTATGCAGTGTTATTTCAGGGTTGGCTTATCATCCTCCACATGCAGACTGTTGGTTGGAGATGTTCTGAAGGCCCATGCAAATGCTGTCTTTTTGACGGGTAATACCTATTTAGGAGATAAACGAACGGTGTTTGAAATTTAGAGTTAGTTTAACCTGGATTAGATACCCCTTAAATTAATTTGGAAACGAGTGTTCTATATTGACAACAAGAGAGCTTTGAAGACAAGTACTTATACATGGGGAAATAGGCCACCTATCTTAGAACGTGCCGAAAAGGGGTCAGAGGATCCGGAATTGATAAACATGAACCCTAAAAAAGTTTAAGATTAATAACTCATATTATTGACTACTTCAAAACAATAGTTACACGAAACAATGTTTTTCAGAAAGAAACTGATGAACACATAACCCTCCATAGAAATATATTTAATTACAGCACAACTTCTTCTGCATATTTGCACAGCTTGGTCTCCATCAAATCATTGTCTGCAAATCAACATGACATCTTCCATTGTAGAGGTGACAGGTTAGGGAAATAATGACACAAAAACTTGAAATATGTATGTATTTT